CAGGGAAAGAGTTAAAAGGGTTCAGAGTGATAGTTCCATCAGAAAGGCCACCAGATGTGATTCAAACCTGAAAATGCGGTTCTCAATAAATCAATCGACCCAGAGCTCCGCCGCGATAATCACAGATAGGGCAATCCCCGCCGTGTGCTCGGAAAATAAACGCTCTTCCGTCTCTCGGTGAATCTACATTATTCCAGGAATCATCTGGTTCAGTGAACACAGTGTCAGAAGATCAGATCAGTGTTTTAAAGTGTGTTTAACGCTCGGCTGACCGGAGAAGCGTGCGTCGACCGAACCGGCCGTTCTCCTCAAACAGAGACCTCCGCTGAGGTCAGGACGTGACCCAGGTGTCTCCGCGAGCGCTTCAGTCCTCGGTGTCCGGCTGCACTCCCAGCATGCCATGCAGCTCCTCCACCGTGTATCCCAGCAGGTTGTGCAGGTCGCAGACGAAGCGGTACACGTAGCGCTTCCCTGACGTCTTGTGGATGATGTTCTTGTCGTAGTAGTAGCGCAGACCTCGGCTCAGCTTCTCGTAGTTCATCTTAGGCTTGTTTTTCCTCTTTCCCCAGCGGCGCGCCACCTGACAGCACAAGAACAACCTTATGAGATAACCATATCATCAATATCATGATATCGTCTCGATGTCATCGCGGTCACATGACGATATGAAACAATATAGGTCTTCCAGGCAAAAAGTGTAGTTTTTAAAATATATTTAAACTTCTTATTGTAACATAAAAGGTGTTTAAAGTTGTGTTTTGGGGCATTATGCTTTGGCACAGTATCTGTCAAACGAACTCAAACCGAAAGCACAGTATGATTAATCCCTTCATCAAGTCTGTTTCAAAGCGCATTTAAGTTATAATCATATCAATGCGTATTATAAGTAGATATTTAATATTAATAAACATGCATTGATGTCATTGATGTGTAATTAATGAGACGCACCGGTGAATCCGGCGAGCACGGCGGCGGGGATGACGGGTTTGCCCTGCTCCAGCGGCTCGTTCCTCTCCTGGACGTAGTCTTTGAAGGACAGGCCCTGTTTGCTGAGGCCCAGCGGAGCCACGCAGAGCTGCT